ACACACACACACACACACACACACACACACACACACACACACACACACACACACACCAGGGGCGGCTGGTGGGTCTTAAAAGAGGGAGTGCATAATTAGGTTAAAGCAGGTTGAAGATAGTTAAGGGCATGGTAAATGAGATTTTTTCTTCATCCTACCTGTTTTGAAAAAATCTATTTTTTTTAGAAGAAGTCTTCCTTTCGTTCTTTTGCTGCAGCAAAAGTGTCCATTATTCTGTTGACGTAGTGGGGCATGCTGTCAATGATATCCTTGTGGATCGACATAAACGTCCGTGCGATTTCTAGGATTTTGCATACTTCTCTAAATGTTGTGTCGAGTTTGTAGCCCTTCAGAGTTAAATAAAGGCCCTGGATTGTACGACCTTGAGCAGACTTAAATATTTCATGGCAATGTAATGCTTATAATTCTGTTTTTAATTTGATTTTATGCAAAACAGTAATATTTCTGTAAACGATCCTAGAAGTAAAAGAACTGTAGGAAATGACTTTTGGAAGTCCTGGAATTTGGAGGAGTCGAAGATAGATAGTGCTTTGAATTTATTTTGCTCCAAGAAACTGTCAACAATTTGAGAGACTATTATGTCACAGGCCTGCTTTGCAACAATTTCGTTGGTGTTGTAAAGTCTGCGTCTCTTGGAAGCGTGTTTTCTGTGGTCTGTTTTGTTGATAGAACACGTATACTGTTTGTGATTTCATGGACGGCTACTTTAAACGTGTCTAAAGCTTGTGAGGCTGCTATGGGCGTTATACTTCTGTGTTAGAGGATCCCATAAACAGCGTCAACGTGCGTGAACACTTCGTTGAAAAAGTGGAAAAAGAAGAGAAATGTTTCGCTCTTTAATACATTCAGGATACCATCGTGGATGGAATTATCGTCCCACTGCTCGGACTGAATTTCAGCAAGACAAAGCTGGATCTCTCCTTTCCAAATGCTAATTAGCCGAGACTGTAAATCCCACTTTGCTTTAGACGGCTATGGAATATTCCAGTGATAAACGTGTCTGAGAACGCCGGTGCATTTTGCAGAGTGGGCAAAAAATGTCGAAGAGCCTGCATAGTGTTAATGAAAAATACCTCTGTTCCCCGACAAATCACCTTTTCCATGACCGCGAAGAACGAGTTCGTGAGTTTCACAGAACAAAATACACCCAATAACCTTCTCACTAGTTCGTTATTGCGAGACGTTGCAATGCGATGACCAACGACTAGCTGCGCTGCTATGTCTACTTGTCCGAAAGTATGATACTTAACGAAATTGTTTACGTGCGCTCTTGATGACTCGTGACTAATGCGTTGTTTCACATGGATAAGATCAGTAAAACCTGTCTTAGACTATTACTTGGGGTCCTCAGTTCCAAAAAGCAGACAGGAGAAACAGCAGGCGTACAATGAGTATTTGCTAACGCTGACTGTAAGCCACTCCACTTTTTGTTGGTTGTATTATTTTGATATCTCTGGGTTGGTGAGGACCTAATTCTTTCATTCTCTTCTTGTTACTTTGTTTGGTGAACTGATTTATTTGCAATCAACTCCATTCACCCTGCATTGGAATACACACTCGAGTAATAAAACTTTCACCACTACACCATTCCAACTTCTAGTAACACAGTGACCTAAATACGTAATGTTGACCTCGCTTAAGTTCAGGGTTACAGAGGTGGAGCTGGAGTAATAAATGGCAAGCCAATGGACCAATCGCACATCACTGTGAGCATTCCCGTGGATTGCTCCAAGGCTATCATAATACGGGCATTGAATTGTGTATGCAATCGTGCACTGGTCTGAGATCGCGTTATTTTTAGACTGCCTCTTTGGACTTTGTTCGGCTGGTGCACATCGAGATTGTGCCGCCTTATTTATATTTATGAACTAAGAAACTAGGTCAAAACGTCATCATAGTTTGAGTCGGCCCATAGAACATT